ATTATATGGTGGATTCCACGGAAATATTTGACGCGAAACGACCATAGATATCGTTGTTTCTGAAATGCCCTGTCAATTTTCTAGAATGAAACGTGAATAAGTGGGTACCGACGAACTGTTGTACATAATGCGAGAGCGTTGTATTTTCTCCTTCGCAAAAGGAAGGTGAAAAAATGGTTGGTTTCTCGGCATTCTTGGAGTCCTCGGACGAAGGGTGCTCGCTCGCCCGTTGGCCGATTTCAAGCAGGAAGTTTCGCCCCGCTCTTGGGAAAGAAACGGCCGAGGCTTTCTTCCGTCGCGTTGGCTGGCGCAACGACGCAACGCCGTCTCCGTCCGCGTGGGCGTTCGGGTCCAGTTTTACGTGATTTCGTAACGACCGGCAGAACCGGAGATTTCATTCATCGTCGACCGATGGCCGACCGACGGCCGATTGGCGGGGGCGAGTGCCCATACGATCCTTCGCGACCTTCGTGGATCGCGACACCATGACTAGGGTAGTCGCCCATGAATCCTTAGCGTATCCTTTGATCCTTTTGTTCCGCCATGTGACTTTTGCCGCGGGCAATATTCATTTTTATAACATTCGTGGATTAAGGCGACGTTGCAACGAAAAAGTTTATAAAAATAAAAAATATGTTTCGGGACGCGTCGAGCCGCGGGGGAAGTGCCCAATCCGGTCCTCCGGTTCATCCCGGGCACATCCGTGCTTTTCTAAATCATTCATAAAGTCCCTCTGCCGCTTTCCGGCAGCGTTTCAACGAAATGACGAGAAATGACGAAAAATTCCACATGTAAAATACGAGTCGGTAGGTTGCCGTCGAGGCAGAGGAAAAGTCCCGCTCTCGAAGGAGGTTCGACGTTGCCGGCCGTAGGCCAAGTGGACGTACGGGGTCTCCGTGTGTCATACATGGCTATGCTATGTGGAAACCGAGAGACAGAGGAGGACGGTCTCCACGCGGGCACGCGTGCCGAGAGGGTGGGGGGGTTCCCGTGGGCACGAGTCGAGCTCCCGACGCAGTGCCCGGCTGGTACCCGATGGTACTCGGTGTCACCCGGTGTGTTTTCCCGGTTTGTGGTTCGAGCTGCAACGCTTGTCGGAAACGAGGTGAGTCAACGATTTCATTAACGCAAACCGATCATCGGTTTATCACATCGAGAGAGGTTCTCGTAATTTAACGGATTATTTGTCGGGAGAGTAGCGTTCCCTCGGGTTATCGTAGATGTTGCGTTGTAGCATTTAAGGTGAAGTGAAGCACCCTTCAGATCAGTCGATTCGAATACAACTCTTTTTCTTAAGGGTATTAGACCAAACTGTCCGAAACTTTGACACATCACTCCTGATCATCCAAGAATTGTCCTAAGTCATTGAAAATTTGGATTTTTCAAAAAAATTTTTTAACTCAGCCCAGACCAGAACCAAAATGGTATCGAGCTCTCATATTTCGATCGATATACAATCATCGAAGGCTCTGATATGAGAATCAAAAGGGTCAGGACAATTTTACAACAATTTAGAACACTCTGGTAATCGATAAACTCGCATTTAAACGGAATAAAGGCAAAAAAGTGTTGTTTGCGCTTGTATGCCAAAACGATGGGAATACGAGGTCTCGGAGTGAAGATTTAATTGACCTGGAAATCACAGATGGCGCAGGGGGTCCCTCTGCAGTCAATTAGGGCCCCAGAAAGCACGAATCCAGAGGATTTCTGGAGTTTTACTTCGATTTCTTTATAATTACTGTACAAAAATGACAGATGGAGTATGCCATTTGGTACAATATCCAATATAATCCGACCCAGCTGTTAATATAAAAACGAACGTCGGCAACGTAGGCATTTAGGAAAATCTTCTTTATCGACGTCGACCAAGTTCCTCGACGTGTTTCACTTCACCTTAAGGACGGGAAGTTCGGAGCGAAATCGTTATTGGTTTACATTACGAGGACGATTCGAAAGATAACAGCAAATTGACGATACGTCTCGAAACGAAAATTCAATAAGCACCCCGTACGTCCCTTCTCGTTCCCTGAACGAGTCGGTCGTCGACGGTCGAACGACTGAAATCTATCGGGCCGTTTGAACCTGACAGCATGCTCGTCAGGTTCAAACGGCCCGATAGATGAGATGCGTGGGTCGGTGTGTGAGCGGTCTTCCTTCCTCCGGGCCGCCGAAGATGGAAGCGGTCGGTCCGAGGGCGCGGAAACGGCGGGACGGCGCAAGCGCGCTCGGGTGAGTAGCGTTTTCGACATAGGGTGCGAAACCTCGCTTATCGAGTTCGCCGCGTTCAACTCGGAAAATGAGTTGGTTTAACGTTAAGCGTTTTACTGCATAGTCTTGCAACGATGCGGCAAATGAAAAAAGGTACGTTTAGAGAAAATTCGATCTGGCGGCGAATCGTCGATGTTGGGTGGTTGAGCGTAGAGTAAAGCGCAAGGGTAAAGTGACCCACGCGAGTTTGCGTTTCTTGTTTCGCCCTGGATGATTCATGGCGTCCGCGATGCGCATCCCCTTGCCTCCGAGGAATACAAGAAAATGTCCCGTAAAGATAAATCGTATCGCATAGACGAGACAAGGTCTGCCAGGAACGGACGGAGAGAGGAAAAACGAACGTAAGAAAGAAACGTTCGGTAACGTTAAGGCGTCCCATGGACACGCGATTGGAGTTAAAATTTTGAAGATCGAACGGGCCGCTAAATCCCTGGGACCGTATATAGGAAAAATTCTTTTTGACAATTGAAATTTCACGAGCATCGCGTTCTTTCATAGGGCTTTCCTAATCACGTGCCAAAGTTTCAAATGATTGGGTGCCCCCGGTTTGGAGAAGTTTCATTGATATCTTGACCTTTTTCAATCTACGTGTCAACGCTTTCGTATCGCCTTAATGCTACCCGTAGATCCGCGATAGCCAATCAAGAGAAAGAATTCTAAAAGGGTGGGTCCCGGACCCAGGTGTCCGCTGAGGTCGTTAATAACGGGTTCGGTTGGTTCCGACAATACCGACTGTACCGACGCCGAAGAAACGCATGAAGAAACGATTCGAACTGGATCGACCGCTTCGAAGCTTCATCAGGAATTCTTCTTCAGTTCTGCAGTTCTCATCTGACCCGCGAAGATGAGATCCAACCCCGGCGTTCTCACATGGAAAACGTGATTTCCTCGTAACGGATAAGGAAGCCGGGAGGATTCTGGTTCTTCGTCTCGGCCCGCCGCCATCTTCTTTTGATAATGACGCGATACATTTTATTCGCGTCTCCCGCGATACATTTTATCGCGTCTCCCGTTCGGTCTTCCTGACAATTTTCTTCTCTAATTCTTTTTTCCCCGTTTCTCAACGATAAGAAAGAAATATTTTATGTCCATTTTGTACTTTAAACCGATTCGAATGGGAGGAAACATGTGGTATTTATCCGGAAATATAGGATATCTCTTAGCCTTTCTTGAAACGAAGCAGTGCAAAGTCTGCTTCCTGTTCGCAGCGTTGTTCTTAAAGTAATTGTCCTTTATTAGGGGTTTTAATTCGTCTCTTTATCTCCCTTTTTCTCTGCGGCAGTTTCCTTTTCCGCAGCCAAAAGCTTAGCTCGTTTTTTGCCGAGTGGTGTTAGCCTCTGAAACTTTAAATATTGCTCTATAGCTTTTTGATCTGGGTCGGATAATTTCCAAAGTTCGTCAACTATTTCTTCGACTTGTAAAGAGTCATTCTTCATTCTTGCTCTCCTACGCGACGTCAAAACTTTTAAAATGACGTCTCGAACAAGTTCCAAGGGTAGACCTGCAGAAAACCTTGCCACTGTGGATACGTCGAAGTGTCTGTCCACTTCTGGATACTTCATCAACAGATTCGTGCAATAGAGATACATGCTATTGTAATCCGTATCCGGGATTATGATAAACTTGTCGTAAATCTTCTTGAAAGCTGCTCCCGCAGAGTAAGGGGCTGCTGAGGTCGCCAAGAAGAGGACCTAAAAGAAAAGAATCGTCACCTTAAAACCTTAAAGATTCGGTGAATATTTATGAAGGTGATCGTCCATGAAAATATTTGGCGTGAAACGCAACCGAGATTTTGTCACCTCCCATATTGATCTCTCACCGCGTTGCATAATCGTGGACCTTTAAGTAGTTTTCAAACCAAAGACTTTTCTAAATTGATCGCAGCATATGATTTCAGATATCACTTTTTATGAGTATATGACATTATATACTTTGCTTACTAAACCAGTAAATAATGTGCTAAACCGTGAACAGGATCGGGTGTAAACGATATTTTATATAATGCCCTTTCCATTCACCTGATCGCCAGGCTTGATGGCTTTGATAATTTTTTTGAAAAATGGCGCCAACCGTTTCGGCTGCGTGTGCTGCTCTTCGGGAGGTACCTTCTTCCACCACGGCTTTTCGCCTCCTTCGATATACACGATCGTAGGAGAATATTCTCTGGAGATTTTCGATACCATGTCGAAAAGCTCGGTCAGTTCTTTCTTCTCGAGAAATTGGCCCGCCAGAATGTTCGGGGTCAGGTCGATCAGGAGTGCTTCGAGTTCCGAACAAATGGCGTTGACGAGGAATTTTTTTCCATAGCGGGGAAGTCCGCATATACAAACCGAGCGCGACAGGGGCGCCATTTGGTGGGCCTCCTTAGAACCAAGTGGGAGAATGCAGTATTCCATTATAACGTGTTTTATTTCGCCCAATCGGTGCTGATAATCTCGAAATTCTAAACCAGCTTCGTAATTCTGATAGGATAAATCACCCAACCAGTCATCGAGGCGCACTTTCTGATACTTTCTTATCACCTTGTCTCTCACTAATTTCGATAAAATATCCTCTGCGGAGACGCCCTCTAGAGGGTCATTCTTTTCCTTCTTTCGTCTCGGTTTCTTCCCTGAAAATTAACTTTCTGGATGAATAAAAGCGATAAGAAAAATGAACGCGACCTTCTTAATCGAGCTGTCCGAATACCGCACTTTCTCTAACTCGAATTGGGCCCACCTTTTGGAGATTTCGGCATGGAGAATTTCTCTTTATAGCTGGCATGATCTTTCGTTAAGGCCTCGTTCAGCTTGCCCAGCTCCAGCCTCATTTGTTCGTCGACGTTCTTTCTAGTCTCAATCTGTATTCCGTGGCACAGTTGCTCTTGTATCGGATCTATGTATATTTGGTCGCGAGGATCGTAAACGTCGTCCCTGAGGCTCCAATTCTTGAACTCTTCATCGGCTTCTTCCAAAATGGCCAAAGCTTTGGATTTCGGCATTCGCCATCCAAGTTCCTTCGCCTTCGCCTTCGCTTCCTTCGTTTCTTTCGTTTTCTTCGTTTTCTTTTCCCTGCCCTTCTTTTTGCTCTTCTCGAACTGGTCGATTAAGTACTCTTCGGGGGTTAAGGTTTGACCGGTTACTACCAAAATGCTTCCCCCTATCTCTTCGGGAGGGTACACGTCGAAGAATCCCAATTCATTGTACCAGTACATAAACCATTCCCGGATTTCTTCAGCGATGTCTTCCGCAAGTCGTGGGGCCATCGTTTGGCCGAGCTAAAAGTAAATTAAAGAAATAATTTGGAACGAACGTTTAGATTGCGATTTTTCGCGGTTTTTCAAGAGTAGAATGCATCGCTTAAGCAATATTTAGCATCCCGGATTTCCATTTCGTCGCAAGATTCTACCCTATTACGCTCTTCAGCTTTTTTGTCTTCGACTTTCTGCAGAGTTTGCGGCTGTTGTTCCATCCTTCTGCGGAAATTTTCCGCGTCCTTTTTTAAAGCTTTTTCCCGAGTATTACTCGATATTGTCATGCTCATCAGCTCTTCCATTTCTGCCAATCTTCTTTGCCGTTTTCTATAAGCGACGAGCTCTCTCCAAGCTCTTTGAATTTTCAGAGTAGCGGCAAGTTTAACGCTTTTCCTGACATTTTTCTTCCCTGGTGTTCCTGGCGTCGCTTTTTGTTGATCGTTGGACTCTTCGGCTGAAATATGAAAATTATGAACGAGCACCTTTCTGGAATTGATGCCGTTACGCGCTTTCCAGTTTGACCTGTCCTCGAAAATTCGAAAATCAATAAACCTCTTTGAAAAATTACTTATAATTTTTAAAATCATTTCACTTTTTAAAAACATTTCGAGATTCCGAAAGTGACGCAGAATTTTGTCAACATTTTTGGTATTTTATAAGCCTATAGAAATCTGCATTGGAGCTAAAATGTATTTGGCATGAAACTCTATCGGGTTTTTAGACGAAGGAAATGACCGTTTACCAATATTAATCTCTCCAGATTCTTTTTCATCGTCTGGTTTTTCCGTTCCGATGTCTTGCTTCCCTTCGATTACTTTTTCTTCTGGTGCTATCAGCGTTCTCGATTCGTTATTCTCTCTTAATGGTGTGATTATGTTCGGTGTAATCGTGGGATGTGATAAGATATCACCAGCCATCTCAGTTGGTTGTTCTAATGAAAAATTGCATCAAAAAATAATTTTTTTGTTTAATTTTCCTACTCTCCCGGAGAACGTTAAATGTCATATTTTATCGACATTATATATTAATGATAAATGAAATTTCATATTTACCGATACCTCCTTTGGTACATAAATCATCGATATCTTGTTTTCTTCGATCTAAAATTTCCCTCCGATCTTCGATGTAACTTCGAGGAGTCGAGATGTTTAAATCATCCGGAGTCCATTTGTTTGCAATTAAATAATTATCTGACCATCTAGGAATTAAGTTTAATAACTTAATTAATGAATCTAAAACAAATTATCAACAAGGAAGACTTCTCATCCATATTAAATGAGACAAAACTAGAAGAACCAAAATTGTTCAATTAAATAGCGCGAGTGATTATGCAAATAGAAAATATAAATATCTAAACGTTTCATGTGTTAATATGAAATCATTCGTATTGTAAGAAAATGATCCATACTTACAGGTAATCCGAAAAAATCAGCTTGGCAATTTCCTGTTTGTATTCTAACATCCGACCTATACAACCATCTAATATTTGTTTAATTAATTGTCTTTTCTGAGACTGGATAATTTGGTCGTAACATGTAATTAAACGTTTTAGAAGTTCTCTATACCTGGAATATAAATGTACTAATCGAATTAACCCTGTAAAATATAGTTGATCCTCGTTTCAATTAATTAATTTTTAAAAGTAACTCTTTCATTAGCTGAGTTTATCGATATTTCAATTTGTTATCATTTGTCAAGATAACGATTTGAAATCATCCGAAAGAAACTTTATAATATGTGTTATCGTTTATATTTAAAGTGTAATCTTACATTAGATACATCGGAATTAGTCTTTGTAAACATTGTTCCGGTTGTTTGATCGGTTTTAACCCTTGTATTTGCTTATCCAAATGTAAGATTTTCTCGAAATCTTGTCGCGTCTCCAGCCATAGTTTGGAATAATAAGAATTAGACATTCTGTTACTTCTGTAAGAATTTCATTTCAAATATCTGTGTTCATTTTACTTATAAAATTTATAGGCAAGGGATACGGTCAATTTTCGTCCGTCTCCAAGAAGTTATGGAAATGGTAAAAACAAAAAACAAAACGGTAGATGTTCTGAAATTTTCTAATATATAGAACATGTTGAATACAGCGTTCAAATGTTACAATTCTCAGTTAATTTGAATCATTATTTAAAACCGGCAATAACTTTTTAATCATTTCTTTCAGGATGGTGGAAACATTTCTATTACTGCTTCTGGTGGTGGCCTTAGTGGCGACATCTTCGGACATTTCGGAGGACTATATCAGCGCAACGACTACATCGCAATCTCCGACCAACGAAACATCATAGAAACCACCAGAAGTTTCAACAACCATGGCCGCCAACCTTTCCGATACAGTCTGGAAATGTCCAATTATAACCAACAATGCCGTGGAGTGCTCCTGTGACTTTCCACATACCTTGAGATGTACCGGGGACAGGAGTGCGTTGGAAGTATGAAATAGTTCACTGAATAATTTAATAAGTATTCAGTAAGAATATGCAGAATGTGATTGTAAGAGCTAAACGTCGATTTATTTTAAAAAATGTCTATGATTCTCACGAATAATGCCAATTTTCTTTTTAAGGCCCGGTTTTACAACTCGAGTTAAGCGGAGATTAATTGGTATTCAGCGGGGTTTATATCGGGTGCAAGATGCGAGTCCGCAAGAGCGAACAAAAACGTAGAATAATCGCAGCGGCAGTAATAACATTTCTATTTTCACAAAGAGATAAATATTTGATTACTTAATGAAATGTATATGCGTATGGACGTTTATGTAACACGTATGCCCAGAGCGAAAAATGTACTCTCCAGGAGAAATTAATTACTTGCGGCAATCTAAATGTTCCTTGCTAAGGAAATTTCTTGGCTCCAGTAAAATTGATTTTATAAGAATCATCAGTGTCGCAATCCAAGTGACGGCAAGTTAATATGAAGGGAAAATGATTTAATGTACGAAATTGGTCTCGAGCGTTGAGAATATATATTAATGGAAGTTATCGCACGTTTCGGATGGATTGTTGTATTGAACCAGACACACTGGTAATTCTATTAAATTGTAGTATGTTACAAGAATGTTATTAATTCTTTCAAAGTCTTTCACTTTTCGAAGTGAATCAACTATCCTCGCTAACAGATTTATGAATAAAAACGGTAACGACGATAAGTCACGCAGACTCTGTGAATTGATTACTGCTTTTGTAATTTGCCTTAATTNAACACTTATCGAAAATCGCTCCCATATAAACACACGTCAACATTTTATCTTTGCAACGAGCACTCGTTGAACCCGATCGGTTCAGAAATACGTTCAGAATCGTTGTCCCCGTGAGACTCTGCAAACCGCTGGAGTGGTGAGCGCCCTTAAAGGCGGTAGCCGCTACCTTTCAAAGGGGTGATTGCGATTCTAAGAACTTTTTTTCAGCTGTCATCGATCAGAAAATTCGCGGTACAGATATCGACCGTAGTTCCGCGAATTTTTCGACTTCGGAGAATTAGCTCTACGTTCCAGAACGTTCGAGAGACCCAGGAGGCGATGCAACGGGGACTTCTCGCCCTTGCAGCCGCCTCGATCCTCCCCGTCGATTCCTGGAATATGCCCGCATCGTTCTGACGTCCGCGCGCCGATTTCAGACTGCAGCGTTCCGACATCCGCAAGCCGATTCCAAAAATTTCGTCGGCACCTTTTGGAGTCCTTTCGATCGCGTGAGCGTAAGGAGCAGCCTCGCAATTACATGTTAGAACTTGTTCCACAAGTATCAGATCCGAAGATTCCGAGATTCGCTATTGGTTCTTAGACGTATCGGATTTCGTTATAGTTTCGGTGTCAAATTACGTAAGTGAGGGTACCTATAAATTAACCTTTGAGCTTAATCTCATCATAGCTCCGAGTCAATCCTCACCGAGCGATTACAGCCCCAGATAGAAAAATGAAAAATAGCAAGCAATGTACTAAGCTGATTAAAATTATAGAGGAGGCGTATCGTCTCCTGGACCGATGTTCGTCTACGGAGCATGATAAATGGATCAGATTTGGGACGCAAAATTTACGTCTATTGAATAAAATACTGAGATGGAGTGCTCTCTCGGTGGGAGAGAGGACACGCATCTCAACGACGATTTCGATACTGAAATCGCTCGGCGAAAAATTCAAAGAACGACGAAAGAAGGGTCATGGCGTTGCGGGACACAGGAGAAGAGATCGAGTCCGCTGGAACGATCTGGAGTCCGCGTTCAAATCGAGAGTAAGGACCGGGGTGATCGTCAACCTGCAGCACAAGGACTTGAAACGGTTCCTGGAGGATTCGAAGAAGCTGATCATCGTTCGACTAAGGAACGCTCTCCAGAAGGAGGGTAACGTGAAGGTGAACGTTGTGCTGTGCTGTAAATTTGAGACGATGAAAGGCGGTGAAACAGTTGAAGAGATGAAGTTCTTCAACACGAAGAATGAAGTCATTCTTCCGGCAACGAACATCGAGCAGTGGTTCGACGAGCACGCGAAGAGCAAACTGTTGGTCGACATCGAGGATTTCCAGGAAAGAGAGTCGGGCTGGTCGTTAACCGAAATCATAAATTTAATGGTGAACGCTAACAAATACGTGCCGTTACGTGTCGGCATATCCACGTACGTCGAACTTCTGAAAGATATACAAAATAGGAAAGCCGTCGTGAACGTTAGAAACAACGATTCATTTTGTTTTCTGTGGACCGTTACGTCAGCCCTTTTTCCCGCCACTAGTCATGTAAGTCGTGTAAGTTCGTACCCACATTTCGGTTCAGTATTAAAACATGAAGGTCTACATTTTCCGATGAGTGTAAAGGATATCCCGAAGTTTGAAAAATTAAATGGATTAGCAATTAATGTTTACGGGATTGAGTCAAGTGGTAGGAAAAGTGAAATAATTCCATTTTACTTGAGCAAACAAATCTCAGATAAATCCACAATTCATCTGCTCATGGTAGAAAGTAAAATTGAGGATGATGGTGATGATGGTACAGGACTCCATTCAAGAAATACAGTGTATCATTTCGCGTGGATCCGAAATTTGTCATGTCTACTGAGATCCCAAATTACTAAATATAAGCACGACATTAAATTATGTGATCGGTGTCTGTGTCATTTTGTAACGACGAATTCTTTCGAGAAACATAGACTCGAATGCATGAATATGAATAAGTGCCGAGTCGTTTTACCGAGCGAAGAGGAGAAAATCTTAAAATTTACAAATTACAAATACCAAGAAGCCGTACCTTTCGTTATATATGCCGACATTGAATGCATGTTGGAATCAGTTACCAACACCGCTCAATCGACAAACACGATACCGTATCAAAAACATACCCCGTATAGTATCGCATGCTATCTGCATTGTACCTTTGATGAGTCGTTATCGAAATTTAAAATTAATCGCGGAGAGAACTGTATACAGTGGTTTATGGACGAGCTACGGGAATTAGCACAATCTTTGGAATATTACCATAAACGCGTCGTTCCTATGGAACCACTTAATACTACGCAGATACAAGAATTTGAATCTGCAGCGTTTTGTCATATCTGTAACAAACCCTTTACACCTCAGGATGTCAAGCATCGAGATCACTGCCACTTTACAGGCAAGTATCGCGGTCCTTCACATCCGGGGTGTAATTTGAATTATAAAAATTCGCACACCGTTCCCGTAGTTTTTCATAATCTATCAGGCTACGATTCACACTTTTTGATTAAAGCTTTAGCCAATTCTTTCGATGGCGCGATTCGTCTATTACCGGTAAATAAAGAGAGATATATAGCATTTACAAAGAGCGTCAAAGGTACGAGCATTAACTTTCGTTTCATTGATTCGTTTCGGTTCATGGCCAGTAGTATCGAAAAATTATCGTCTTATCTAGACGATTCCAAGAAATTAATTACGCGTAAACACTGCAACAGCGTACAGGAATTTCAACGTTTGACTAGAAAGGGTGTTTTTCCCTATGAATACATCGACAGTTGGGAGAAGCTTGAAGAAACTCAGCTACCTCCTAAAAGAAAATTTGTCTCAAAATTAAACAACGAAGAGATTTCTGAAAATGATTATTTACACGCGAGCAACGTTTGGCAAACGTTTGATATTAAAACTTTAGGTGAATATTCGGATTTGTATCTGAAGACCGATGTGCTACTCTAAGCTGATATTTTTGAAAATTTCAGACGCAAATGTTTTTCCGCGTACAAATTGGATGCTCTACATTATTTTACGGCACCCGGTCTAGCCTTCGACGCTATGTTAAAGTGTACGGACATCGAACTCGAACTTCTTGATGATGAGGAGATGTTATTGTTTGTCGAGAAAGGTATTCGCGGCGGCGTGGCTCAGTGCTCTAACCGATACGCCAAAGCGAATAACAGATACATGGGAGCTGATTTCCATACGAGTAAGAATGAATCGTATCTAATGTATTACGATGTAAATAATTTGTACGGGGCCGCCATGAGTCAATTTTTACCCTTCAACTCGTTCGAGTGAGAACAAAATTTCGGTGAACTCGATATTCGGAATATTTCCGATACTTCCTCCATGGGGTACATATTCGAGGTTGATCTAGAGTGCCCCGAATCGCGTCAGGAAATTTTTAAAGATCTGCCTTTATGTCCCGATCATTGCGCACCTCCCGGCTCGAATACGACGAAATTAATGACGACGCTTCTACCGAAGAAAAGATACGTTATCCACTACCGAAATTTAAAGCGATGTTTAAGTTTAGGCATGAAATTAAAAAAAATTCATCGAGTTCTTAAATTTAATCAAAGTTTTTAGTTAAAGAAATACATTGATTTAAATACAGAATTACGAAAAAAGTCTCGTAACGATTTCGAAACAAATTTCTATAAATTAATGAATAACGCAGTTTTTGGAAAAACGATGGAAAACGTTAGCAGTCGAAAAGACATCAAACTCGTTACCAAGTGGGATGGGGGGTACGGCGCGAAGCTCTAATTGGGAAACCAAATTTTTCATAGCTGCATCATCTTCGACGAGGATATGATGATAATCTAAGTGAATCGAACGCAGATTAAATTCAACAAACCCATCTATGTAGGATTTTGTATTTTAGACATCTCTAAAACTTACATTTATGACTTTCATTACAATTATATTAAGCCGACGTTCGGGGAGCGAGCAAAATTATTGTACACTGATACGGATAGCTTACTGTACCACTTTACCGATATATGAGCCGCTCAGTGCACACATCGACTAACTCCACTTTTTGAAAAATCTTAAATTTAGGTGTCAAAGCACTTGGTACAGTCATAACTTGTTATATTTATAATATCTTTCCTGATTAATAGAGATTAACACCATTAAACGGCAAAGTTTTTTTTGGCATTGAATAATAATTAATTTATTTCAGAAGCCATTTTGATTCACCCCATACTCTAATGTAAATCGTAGGCGAATAGTTGGCAGTATAGTATTATTGGATTATCTGTTGCGGCCGTACATCGACGCTTTT